AAGAAGAAGAAGAAGAAGAAGAAGAAGAAGAAGAAGAAGAAGAAGAAGAAGAAAAAGAAGAAGAAGAAGAAGAAAAAGAAGAAGAAGAAACCATTTCAATGTGCTGCTATACACATACTCGTGCGTTCTATATTGCTAAACAGTTTTTCAAGCAAGATCAGAGAAAGAAATTTGGATTGATTTCCTATCCCTTTCTGCGTGATGATGACACCAGGGTCTGTCTGTGGTGTAATAGTTAGGCTCCCAATTGTTATACTCAGAGGACGCGAGTTCTTTTCCCGAGCAGAGAAGTCTATTTTATTGAGTTTTTTGTTTTAGTAAATGTTTTACGGCACTTGCAACACAATAAGGTCTTACAAGTCTCGAAGATTAGAGGTGTTACAAGAGAGTAACAAACACAAAAAAGAAGGAGGGGAGATAAAGACAATAGATGTTTGATAGGAAAGAAGAAGCAAACCACACAAGAGCATCCGCCAACCACCCACTATGTAGTTTTTCGGAAGGAGTACCGCAGAGAGCCGACCGACCAACAACACCAAATCCTAACTCTAACATTAACCCTAACCCTAATCTTAACTCTAACATTAACCCTAACCCTAATCCTAGCTCTAACATTAACCCTAACCCTAACTCTAACATTAACTCTAACCCTAATCCAAACTCTAACATTAACCCTAACCGTAACCTTAATCCTAACCTTAACACTAACCCTAATCCTCACCTTAACCCTAACCTCAATCCTAACCCTAACCCTAACATTAATCCTAACCCTAACCCTAACCCTAACCTTAATCCTAACCCTAACCCTAATATGGTCGCTTTTAAGGACAAGAGGGCTAACCCAGGCTTCGGGAGTTGCCAGAAATCTTGATCTACACCAAGAGTGGGCATTGTCCTACCTATAGGAGAGGTTTGGTTTCATTGGTGTGTATATTTGTTAGGTTATGGAAAAAAAATCTCGTCTTTTAAAGAAACTGAACAAGGGGCAAAAACGTTACCTTCGATTTTCTCAAAACAGCATTTTTCGGCACAGTCCCCTTGTGCTTAAAAGCGACTATTTTATTGCGTATTTCGGAAGGAGTTCTGCAGAGAGCCGGCCGACCAACAACACCTAACCCTAAACCTAACATTAACCCTAACCCTAACCCTAACATTAACCCAAACCCTAACATTAACCCTAACCCTAAACCTAACCCTAACCCTAACATTAACCCTAACACTAAACCTAACTCTAACCCTAACTCTAACCCCAACATTAACCCTAAACCTAACCCTAACATTAACCCTAAACCTAACCCTAACCCTAACATTAACCATAGCCCTAACCCTAACCCTAACCCTAACATTAACCCTAGCCCCTACCCTAACCCTAACATTAACCCAAATCCTAACCCTAATATTAACCCTAAACCTAACCCTAACCCTAACCCTAACATGAACCCTAACCCTAACCCTAACCCTAACATTAACCCTAGCCCTAACCCTAACCCTAACCCTAACATTAACTTTAAACCTAACCCTAACATTAACCCTAGCCCTAACCCTAACCCTAACATTAACTCTAATCCTAACCCTAACATTAACCCTAATCCTAACCCTAACATTAACCCTAAACCTAACCCTAACATTAACCCTAAACCTAACCCTAACATTAACCTTAATTCTAACCCTAACTTTAACCCTAACATTAACCCTAGCCCTAACCCTAACCCTAACTCTAACGTTAACCCTAATCCTAACCCTAACATTAACCCTAAACCTAACCCTAACCTTGTATAGTCTGCTCAGCCGACCTTGTCATGGAAAGTGCCGGCCCTCTGCAGAACTCCTCCCCGTTATTTCAGCGGGATATCTGGGATGTTGCAAGGTTTAAGAAACAGGCTCCCACGTTTGTCAAATTTGCTTCGATAGGGAAGATAAACGTTTACAATAATTTCCTTTAAAAACCTCCAACTTATTACAAACTCATGTACATACAACGATGATAAATTCACGCATATATAAAGATTATAAAATCATCTATACATGTAATCATACAAAAACAGTGTACTCATGGGGGTTATAAGCTCACGTTTATATCACAATCATAAACTCACATACACATATAACCATTATAAAAAGGCGCGCGTATAACCGTTGTAAACTCTCGTACATTTAATCATTAATCAAGTAAACCCACGTACGTACGTACAATATTATACAACCATGGTAAACTCAAGTATGATATGATAACGTTTATCCAAGTTTCACTCACTTTGAGAAAGTGTAGACTGTCATTCACCGCTCACTCTCTGTGGTGTCACTGACGTGTCTGTGCGCGAGTGCGAGTAATTGAGCACACTGCTTCAGTCACCACTGCCACAGAGAGTTTTTTTGCCTCCGTCGTTACGCTCGACAATTAATTGTGAGGCAGTGTGGTGAAATCAGGCGCTCGTCAAAATAATCAAAGTGTAAAAACTGGTATTTTCCCACGGGTTTGTGAATTTTTATCGAATTTTTGTTTTTTGGCTAATTATCTGTCATGCCCATTAAAGAACACATTTCTGTGTGGATTGTACCGAAAAACGTTGATTAAAGGAACAAAAAATGTAAATTTTCATTTCCTAAGGACTCTCAAGCGAAGGAAATCACTCATATTTGGCGGCCATTTTCTCACTAATTTTACCTCTGAAAACAGGTGAGCCCCACCTCCTTCCTTCGTAAATATCTCAACTTCTATTCAAGATTAATGGGTATTTATTTTCGTCCAAAGCAAGACAAATGAACGAGCTGTAAGATGATGCCAATAACTCCACACTCCACATACCCAAAAATTGACGAGCGCCTGATTCCACCACGTCGTTACGCTCGACACTTATTGCGTGAAATTTTCCCGCGCCCCACCCGCATCCTCGCACGCAGATTGAAGATAGGCCCGATCAGGGGCGGCGCGGGGTGTTTAGAACTGACAGGCTATCCTTAACGCCGACTTCCCCTCCCCTCTCTTTCACCCACAACATACTTAGTGAGACACATAATATTATACTTTATTTTATACTCCTACATTTTCATTCCCTCTCCTCTCCTCGTCCTCCCCTCCCCCCCCCCCCCCCCACACACACACGCACAAAACATGCACAGCACATGTGGTATATGGTCACCTTCCATTATTTGTATAAACATTTCCATGTACATAATATGAAAGAGCCAAAATAATACGACAGTCTTTAAAAACGTAACTAAATATGCCTAGCCGATACAAATGGCGTGGCTTAGATATACTTGGTTTTCATTTTTGCAAAAAGTCCGCCTTTCTGCTCTTTTGGAAGTAATTTGACGATTCTCTCTACGAACGTTTCAATTTGACAATAAATGTGTCTTTACGAAGAGACAGAATCACTACCGCACCCAAACGTTCTTGACCCATTGTGTAAAGCCTGAACGCTCTATCTCGGTTACACAAATTTAAATGTAAGTCTGGGTTTCCAGACATTGACGGAAATCATTGAGAAGGACAGATAGAAACTGAAACAGTCTCTTGGAAAAAGAAAGACTACCATTCAAGAAAGCAAACCGAAAATGAGAAGTAACCAACTCTTAGTCCTGGTCCACTGTACTTGACCCAAAGACTTCAATTTTCTACACACCCGCACAAAATTTTGAAGTATACTCGCTCCGTAAATAATAAGAGCTGTCCCTTGCAGATCAAGCCTAGAATTAGATACAAAACAATGCTTTCAACACACACGCATTGAACAAAGTTAGCACACAACAATTTGCGATCGTTTTATAATTAAACGTTCTTCCTCGCACTTTTCAGAACGAGACTCAAATGTGAATTTTGAAACAAATGTATGGCGGGGGAGGAGGAAGGGGGTGGGGGTGGGGGGGCTATAGTTTTTGGCCCAGACTCCGACCGCCGAGTGCCTCTCAACTTGTAAAAATTCCCTCAATAATATTATCGTTCGGCGATTATTGTCAAAGCTGGTCGGGCTATGGGCCAGGTAAGATTAAAGGGGAGAGTAAGCGGTGAATAGAACAATATACGAAACTTTTCCTGGCTCAAAATTCAATACGCAATAAAGATTAGGGCCATGTTGACTAGAATAATTTTATTTTCTGACAGTAGTTAGAAACAGTTGAATGATATATATTACTAAAGAAATAGAACATGAATTTATTGTTCTGTTCAAAACAGTCTTATTTTTCATTTACAAGCAACAGAGAAACCACATTGGCAATTAAGGAGTCGTGGTCTTTTCAAGATTATGGTGTTGAATTCATTGGCAAGGCTGACGTCGCCGCTGAGCATGAGGTATTCGGTTTGAGTCTCGCACTAGGCTTTCTTACTGAGAAAGCTTAGATCTAACCCTCACCTAAACGAAGTTACACATCGTGATAGGAAGAGATTTGCATGCAGGCTGCAAGCCAGTGCTGATGAGCAAAGATTATGAAAAGCGTCTCTGTTGTGAGACAGCGCAGCCCTGAAGCCCTTTTGTCTCCTTGAGAGCCTTCAAATTGGCAAAGCGCTTTTCTAATATTAATTTCTTTGGGGCCTATCTAAGGAAGCATGGTCACTTACGTGGTGTTGATTAATTTGGATTTACTTAAAACTGAATGAAACTTATTATCAGCAACAAATCTCTTGTTAATTGTCTGGCTTATAAAAAGTGACCATCCCCGCCAGTACTGACCGGGTTGACGAACTTCCCATGCCCAATTGACCAATCAAGACAGAGAGCGCAGCTGAGCCTTAATGCGGGCCACACACGACATAGGCCGTCCTTGGGATCTACGACCAGAAGGTCATCATTGAGCCGCCTTGGGGCCGCCTTGTGTTTTGTCCTAAGGCCTGCTGGCTGAGGCGACCTGGGCCAAGTGCACACAAACGGCGCAGGCCAGGACTGTGCAAATACAATACCAAAGTGCATTCCATCATGGCGACCTACCTGGCGAAAACTTTGTAGGCAATAGGTCTATAGTTTGTGAAGTGCATAGAGCTTGCTGTTGAGCTATACAAATGCTATCTATCTATCTATCTATCTATCTATCTATCTATCTATCTATCTATTATTATTATTATTATTATTATTATAATTATTATTATTATTATTTTTATTATTATCACTAGTAAACTTTCAGTTTCTTTAAAAGACAAGGAGAGTTTTCTCTATAACCAAATAAATATACTAACAAATGAAACCAAACTTCTGCCATGGGTAGGGCAATGCCCACTTCTGGTGTAGGTCAAGATTTCTGGAAACCTCAGAAATCTGGGGTAGCCCGCTTGTCATTAATAATAATAATAATAAAATAGATAGCATTTGTATAGCACATATCCCCGCTCAACAGCAGGCTCTCTACGCTTTACACTATATTATTACCCCAGCAGACCATAGAACACTTCGAAACATTCTCAGCTTCCCGTGAAGCATACGGTGCAAGCAGCTGATTAAGTGCTCAAACACTAACAAATTGACAAGATCATTCGCTGTCTATAGCCGGGTTCCCATTCCCACCTGGGTGAAGTGAGGAAAATTCGTGTAAAGTGCCTTTCCCAAAGACACAACGTCGGGCCCCTGGCGGGATTCGAACCCATGACCTTACGGTTGCGAATCCGAGAGCCTAACCACTAGGCCACCGCCGACGCCATTAAGAGCGACCAATTGAGGTTGAGCCTCAAGGACGGCCTGTGGCGTGTGTGGCCCACATAACACTTTTAGGTTTAACTTGGCCTCGTACAACAAAGCAGTATTTTGAAGGGTGGGGTTTTTGAATCAATTTTATCCTTCTTTGATTGGAATGGGGGAAACATTCAGAATAATCTACAAACAACTCTTTAGGATTTGAACTCTGTCGGTCAAATCTTCTGCCCCCGTGGTTTTATGCAAAAAAGATTTTGAAATTATGCAGACTGAGTCCAACAAAGCGAAATTATGCGATTCTGTTTATTTTAACAAAAAATGATACAGGAAAATGATCAGAAATTATGCCAAAAATGATCTAATTTTGCTGAATTATGCGGGGTGCATAAGAGAGAGAGAGAGTGAGAGAGAGAGAGAGAGAGAGAGAGAGAGATAGAGAGACAGACAGACAGACAGACAGACAGACAGACAGACAGACAGACAGACAGACAGACAGACAGACAGACAGACAGACAGACAGACAGAGGGACAGACAGACAGACAGACAGACAGAAGTGGGAGCGGCCGGGGGTGATGGTGAGAGTGAGGAGGGGGGGGGGGAGGATCTGTTATTCTCTATCACAGAACTCTTCCACATCTGGAACTTGGTAAGATTATCGTCGTCGTACGTAGGGGGTGTCTGTTGTGGGGTTAAAGAGTTCTCTTGTTTTGCTGCTGTCACCAAGACGTGTCCGAAACAAGAACAACAACAACAACAACAACAACAACAACAACAAACAGTTTCCGCCGAAAAAAGATCAAACGTAGTCATGGGTAGCTTAAAATTCAACAGGCATTAAAGATTATAGCTATGTTGACAATAAATGTTCTGACAGTAACAAGAGACAGGTTGAATAATAAAATATGTTACTGGTGAAATAATTCCAAACAATAATGTATAAAATTTGTACCAGAGACTTGTACGTCCTTTGTAAGAAATATAAAGGTTAATTGGTAATTAGAAGCCATCTTTGTGCTCTGAGGGCAAAAACTGAATTGGCCGGGGAGTCTGACGTCACCACTGAGCGGGCGGTGTTCGGTGAGGCCTCACGAACATGTTCTATAATACCGTGACAGGGGGCGATTTACATGAAGTAGAGGTGGGCAAAATCCGGATCATCTATAAGGATAACTGGATAATTCTGAATGAAACATTATCCGAATTCAGACTCTTAACTCCCTTTCCTGACCCGCTTGCCGAAGTGGGTGCACCCATTTGTTGAAGTGATGCTAACCCGTTTGTCGAAGTGGTTCTAACCCATTTGCCGAAGTGGTTCATATCATATTATTTGCCGCAGAGGTGCACTAACATATTATCCGGATCTTGCAAAAGCGACTCATTGCCCAGCTCTCATGAAGGCTATGGGCCGGTGTGATAAACAAAAATGAAGGAATGAGTCTCTGTAGTACGACAACATAACAGTGAACCTTTTTTTTTCTTTGAACGCTTTCAAAGCGACAAAGTGCTTTTTAAACGTTGATAAATTGTCTAAGTCTGGATCTACTTGAAACTGAAGAAAGAAAGTTATCAATTATCAATCTCTTGTCCACTATCCAGTCAACAGAAAGCGACCGACGCCGCCGGTCCTGTTTATAGTGAGGTCAAAAATTCTTTGCGCAACTTATTTCTGGGTGAATCAATGTGGCCCAAACTTTGCCCAGCAGTTTGTACCAATTTGTCTCAAATTAATCATATTTTCCGCAATAATTGAAGTTAGAGTATAAAACTTTTGTCCTTAAATTTATATAAAATACTACAAGTCTCTGTCACGCGAAAAATGGGTTTGTTCACAGCACTTCCGGCTTCTCACATACATTTTGCATACGCATGTGGCCTACGTCATAGCTCACCAATGA